ATCGAGGTCGTCACAGAGCCCCGATTTGAGCTCCGTGTTCCTTGCGGTACAGACGCTTCCCACCAGCTGCCTCTTTCACACCTGATAGCGTTTATATGTCAGTCATATATACGCTGTGTCCACACATTCATTTTCTACGTCTGTGTCTCTACTCCTGCCCTGGAACTAGGATCATCTGTACCATTTTTCTGGATTCCACGTATATGCATTAATATATGATATTTGTTTTTCTCTTTCTGACTTAATTTCACTCTGTATGATAGAGTCTAGGTGCATCCCTATCTCTACAAATGACCCAAATTTCATTCCTTTTTTATTGCTGAGTGATATTCCACTGTATAAATGTCCCACATCTTTATCCATTCATCTGTTGATGGACATCTAGGTTGTTTCTGTGTCTTGGCTGTTGTGAATAGTGCTGCTGTGAACATAGGAATGTATGTATCTTTTTGAATGGAAGTTTTCTCTGGCTGTCTGCCCAGAAGTCAGATTGCTGGATCATACGATATTTCTGTTTTTGAGGGAGTGAGTGAAGTAGCTCAGTCGTGTCCAACTCTTTGTGACCCCGTGGACTGTAGCCTACCAGGCTCCTCCCTCCATGGGATTCTCCAGGCAAGAATACTGGAGTGGGTTGCCATTTCCTTCTCCAGGGGATCTTCCCGACCTAGGGATCGGACCCGGGTCTCCCGCATTGCAGGCAGACGCTTTAACCACTGAGCCACCAGGAATCTAAATTGCTGGGTCCCGTGGTAACTCTGTTTTTTGAGGGCTTTGCACACTCTTCTCCATAGAGGCTGCATCTCTGCATCCTCATCAGCAGTGGAGGGGGCACCCTTTCTGAGGAGATGCTGGTTCTGTGGCATCTGTATCCTGCATCCTGCCCAGGACTGGCTCCGTGGCTCCGTGGCGGTGTCCAGGGAGGGAACTAGTTCATGTGACAGGAAGCATGCCCCTGGGCTTGCTTCTATGTCTCTGATCAGGCCGCAGCTAAGGGGTCCAGGTGAGACCTGGGTGGGGCTTGCCCTAAAAGTGCAGCGGTGGCTGGTGGGGGGCAGACACCCAGTGTGTGTATGTGATGCACACCTGTGTCTGCCGTCCCAGGCAGCACCGTGTCCTCGTCTTCACGTGGGGAGCCTGTCACCTGAGAACTTGTCCATGGGGACTGGTCCCTGCCCGCACAGGCTCACCTTACCTGAGAGTTGGCCACTGTTCCAGGCAGTGCAGATGGGAAGCGAGTCGGATCCTGTTACCTGCCTTGTGGGGGTGGGGGCGTTGTTCCTGCAGCCACCTCAAGCCAGGAAACGTGCCCACAAGCCAGGGTGCTTGCCCTGGTCCTCCGGTTACTCTGGGAGCAGGCTTCTCCAGATTTCCTGTCTGTGGTATTTGATTCTTTTTTTTAGATTTACCTGTTTTACTTTTATGCAAGTGACCTACCTGCCAGTACATCAATCCAGGTATCAGATTCCCCACCTCTCCCATGCAGCCCTGCTCCTGAGAACTTCAGTCACTTACAGGACCGGCTATTCAGGGGCCCTCAGACCACCCTCAAGTTCAGTGGTTCTCTGGAAGGACTCGCAGGACTCAGCCAAGCTGTTGTAGTCACACTTCGTTGCAGAGAGAGGACACAGGTGGAATCAGCCGGTGCACAGGCTCCTGGGCCAGGGTCCGGGGGGCCGGGGACCAGCTTCCAGCTGTCCTGTCCCAGAGGACTCTGGCAAGCGACACTCGACTCTTCCAGAAGCCCTGTGTGACCGCACGTGTGAGCTGCCGCCAATCAGGAATCCTGCCCAGGGAGCATTAGGGAGTCCAGGGGTTTTCCTGGGGGTCGGTCACAGAGGCACGGCAGACCACCCGCAGGCGGAGCTTAGCCTCCAGCCCCTCGGTCAAGCCCAAGGCCCTCCCCATAAACCATGTTTTCAGTATAAATGACCTGTTGTGGCTCATGGCCTCGTATAAACAGTCACTCTTCTCAGGAGGACATTTCAAGGGCTCACAGGTGCCCTCCCAGGAGTCCCATCAAGGGTCTGGACAACCCTGACCAGCTGTGTTCACCCTTCACGGCACAGCAGTATTTCAGAGAGTGGACTCTGGGTCCAGCATCACATCTTGGCTCTGCCACGTCTTGGCTCTCTGGTTTAGGTACTTGTTCTATCTCTTTATGTCTCTGTTTCCTTATTGGTAAGATGGGGCGATACTGGATAAGCGTGAGGTAAAGAGCTTGAAGACTGAATGGCCACTGATGAAAGAGGGACTGTTGCAGCCACGCTGCTGACACAGAGAGATGTGGCTTCCCGTGGGGGAGGGCAGGCGGCAGGTCCTCAAGGAGTTAAGCGGACCCAGCGGCTCCACTCATGCGCACATACCCAAGAGGCATGGACGCGTTCCCACGTGTCTTCCCAGGAGACACGGACACGTGTGACTCTTCACAGTAGCATTACTTCCAGTAGATCCCAAGTGTCAAAAACACTGACGGCCATCCACAGATGAATGGATAAACAATGTGGTCCCTCCGTACAAGGGAACATCATTCATCCATGGAAAGGCGTGAAGCCCTGACACTCGCTACAACATGGATGAACCTCAAGAATATTATGCCAAGTGAAAGAAGCCAGACATAAGAGGTCTCACGCTGTGTGATTCCAGGTATGTGAAGTGCTCTGAATGAGACAGTGGGGTTTATGGTGGGGAAGGGCGGGGTTGGCTGGGGCGGGATTTGGAGGAGGAAGGAATGGGGAGTGGATGTGATGGGCTTGGGGTCTCCATTTGGCTGATAGAAATGGCCTGGAATTAGACACTGGTGATGCTCGCATGTACAAAGCACCTGAAAACCACTGAGCTGTCCTCTTTAAATGGTGAACTTTATTTCCGTATAAAAATTGCTAAAATAAGCCCCAAATACCACCACACACGTAGGCGAATGGCCCAACCTGGAGTGTTCGTGTCAGCTACGGGCAGGATGTGAAGCTGCGGAGACTCGCTCTGTTGCTGCTGGGGGTGCACCGTGGTGCGGAAGACAATCCGACCGCTTCGTACAAAACTAAACAGTCTTACCGTGTGTTCCAGTGACCGTGCTCCTGGGCGTTAACCCAAAGTTGAAAACTTAATCCACACAAAAACCGGAGCACAGATTTTATTTATAATTGCCAAAAATTGGAAGCCACGAGGTGCCCTGTAATAGGTGGGTGGATGAACCGTGGTCCATCCAGTTGATGAAATGTTATTCAGCTCTAGGAAGGGATGAGCTGTCACACCACGGAAAGACATGGAGGAACCTTAAATGCTATGACAGTGTGAAAGAAGCCAGTCTGAAAAGGCTGCCCACTGTGTGTGCATGTGTGTGTGTGCGTGTGCGCGCGTGTGTGCATGTGTGTGTGCGTGTGTGTATGTGTGTGCATGTGCGTGTGTGTGCGCGCGTGTGTGCATGTGTGTGTGTGTGTGCGCGCGTGTGTGCATGCGTGTGTGCATGTGTGTGCATGTGCGTGTGTGTGCGTGTGTGTGTGTGTGCGCGCGTGCGTGCTCAATCTTGTCTGACTTTGTGGCCCCACGGACTGCAACCTGCTAGGCTTCTGGGGGTTGTCATTTCCTACTCCAGGGAATCTTTCCTACCCAGAGATTGAACCTGAGTCTTGCGTCTCCTGCATGGGCAGGCTGATTCTTTACCACTGTGCCCCCCGGGAAGCCCGCAATGTACAGCTCCGACTAGATAAAATTCTGGAAAAAGCAAAACTGTGGAGACAGTGAAAACATCATTGGCTGCCAGGGGTGGGAGTGTGGAGAGGGGTGAGTTGAGAGAGCATTTCTCCCTCAGGGTTTTCAGGGCAGAAAATGCTCTCTCCGTGATGATGCAGTGGTGGATACATTAAACATCTGTCCAAACTCACAGGAGATACAAGACCAAGAGTGAGCCCTGTTTAAACTGTGGACTCTGGGTGATGATGACATGTCAGTCTAGGTTCATCAGTGACCAATAGACCGCTCTGGTGGGGACGTCGATGGTGGGCAAGCTGTACCTCTGGGGGGTGGGGTTGGGTAGGAGGTACACAGGAAGTCTCTGTACCTTCTTCTCAATTTTGTTGTGAACCCGAAACTGCCACACAAAAAAATAAATGAATTAAAAAAGACAAATGAGAAAACAAAACTGCACGCCTTGAGGAAGAATAATCTGTTTTGAAGTGAGATGCCATTCTCTCTGTGGGGAGGGGGAGAGGTCTGCCCCCCGGACTTTTGCTGTTTTCTCGCATCCTTGGTGCCTGCGACCCCGTTCCCGATAACAGGTTACGTGCAGCCCTCGCCCGTGGTCTGCTCATCCTGGACTGGGTCGCCAGCTGTCTCTTACAGCCACAGGGCGTTGGATCTGCCCGCCAAGGCGTGACGTCCTGCCAGGGTCGCCGGAGAGCCGACCCGCTTTGGAGGCATCCTTGGAGGGCTGGTACTGGGGACCCTCGCAGTCACACTGTGCCCCCCTCCCTCCCGAGGCTGCGCCGCCTGCAGGCTGTTACCCAGAGACCATGCAGAGGAGCTGGGTCACCTGTTGCTGCCTGGGGCCCCCTCTTTCCACAGAGCGCCTCTTAACAGGGGCAGCACCGCCGGGGGGAAAGGACGCTGTGAACTACCCTCCCCTTGGCTGGGGGCGCCCGCAGGCCGGCTGCTGCCTGTCCTTCCGCTCCAGTCCGTTCAGTCGAGGCGCCAGGCTTCTGCCCGCAGATGCGGCTGCTTTGACTCAGGGACAGCAGTTTGTTGCTGAGTCTCTCATATCCGGATAAGAACTCGTTTTCATCAACTATTTACATTTATTTGAGTCTGACTTCCGTGATGGCCTTTGTGCTTTAGCCAGAAACAGAACTTGTAGTTTACAAAGCGACTGTGCAGAATTGTCTGGAACTCAGACGATCGTCTGAACTCAGGAAAACGAGAACTACATCTTCGTGTGACAGGTGAAGGGGGTCAGGTTCAGAGAGGTCGAGGGGCTTTCTCAAAGGCAACATAGCAAGTGGCAGTACCAAGGCTGGCCCCTGATCATGACACACGGGAGCGTGGGCCCCAGGTCGGCCTTGGCGGGGTGGGCAGGCGGCAGAACCTCGGGGTGGGATCCAGGGAAATGGTGCGTCATCGCCAGTGCTGCTGCAATGTCACAGACAGCTGCGCCCGGCAGGATGAGCCTGCCCCGGGGCCTGTGGGTGTGGAACCGAGACCACAGCTTTACACTCCGGGGCTGCCTCTCCCCAAGCGGAATTTCAGATTTCACACGAGCACTTTGTGGGCAAAAGTGTCATCACCTCGGGTGGTGCAACCTGAGGGGCCAGTGTGCTGGCTCCAGACAGCTGAGGTTCGTATCAAAGGAGTGATTTCAGTCAGCCCAGACTTTTGCATCTTCCAGTTCAGGGAAAACCGCTAATTTCATTAACCTGAGCTGTCTGGTTATCTTTCATAATAATCTTCTGATGTTCCAGTTACTTGATTTTGTTGCAACAACGCCTGTATAACCTGGCTCTCCCTTACCTTTTCAGAGCGGTCCCTCAGTGATCTAAGAGGCTGTTTTTCCATGCTTAAGTCCTCAGAAAGCCCACCAAATAAAGCATAATTCTCAGCTTTGAGGTTTTGTGTTTTCAGGGGACAGCTGGCTTTCCTTGTTGGCAAGCAGTCTGCCCGTATGAATTTCCTGTTCTTTTCCCCAACAAAGGTTTCCCATGAAGCAAAGAGAACCTTCAGTTATTTATGATTTTAGAGTCAATATTGAGTTTATTCAAGGTACATAGCCTAAGACTTAGCTTTCCTGAAGCTCATAAATGTGATTTACAGCTGTTACTCTATTTATGAATCGAGGTGATTTTATAATCCCCTGAGAAGAGTGAGTCTTTGGCACTTTCCCGTGGTGCAGTGGTTAAGATGCACCTTCAGCACAGAGCGTGCAGCTTCGATCCCTTTCACGTGCTGTGAGGTGCAGCTAAAAAGTGGAAAAAAAAAAATGGGCCTTTGTTAACAGTGGGATCTCACAAACTCAAATGCCCATGAATTTTAACAAAAATTCTGTTTCAGGGATGAAAATCATTCTTTTATTACTTTGATTAGTAAAGTGTAACCTAATTATACTGAAAATTGGGGAACTCACGTTCTCTGAAACATTCTAGACATTTTTGAACTTTTTTAAAATTATACTTTGGGTGCAAAGTCTTATGACCAAACCTGCCATTCTGTTGCCAGTTTTGATTGGGATGGTGAGTATAAACAGGTCCAGGGTGGGAAAGTGAAACCTTATTTCACTTTAAGATGATTTAAAATGTTACAGAAAAACCCAGATGGATTTAAAATGTTAAGAAAAACCCAAAGGAACCTTTTGGCCAACCCAGTATGATACTGGTTAGGTGCTTTTGGTAGTTTTTTTCTTTTCACCCTTAGGTTTAAGGCTTCTTGGGGGTTACAGAGCACTGGCCCACAGACCAGCCCGGCAGTGTGGCCCTTTCATCTCAGGCCCTGGGTTGACCATCACCAGGCCGTCTGGCTGGGACCAGGCCCCTGTGGCTTTGTCCAGTCCTGCCTGATTCTGAGGCCTGGACTCTGCAGCTCAGTAGCCCAGGGCCCGCTCAAGTGCAGAAGGTGGGGAATTGTGAACACTTCGAATCTTCCATCCTAGTTCCTAAGGAAGTCTGTGGCTAACTCCCTTAGTTGCTTGCTGCTATTCTGTATTTTTTTTTGGGGGGGCGGCTCTCTTAAGCCTCTAATTACTTTCAACCTGGCTCTGAAAACACTTAATGGCGATTTCAAACATCTTCAGGACCTTCACAGCTGCATGTAACTTACAGCGTTACCGGGCCTGGGTTCCACATTCTTCTGCGTCTCTCTGGCCGGGCCTCTCCTTGACATCAACCCCTTCCCACCCTCATCTGCCCTTTGGATCCAGCAGTTAGGTCATGTTTACTGGCTTGATTCTGGTTTTCCTTTTTAAATAAAATTTGAATTTAAAAAAGAGAGGTAATTCAAAGATGACCAGGGAGTGAGCAGCGCTGGGGCCTGAGATCACAACAGTGAAGGTGGTTTGTGCGTAGCTGAAGGTGGAGGGTTGGGGCTGCAGGGTCCCCGAGTGGACTCCCAGCCCTGGCCGCCCAGCGCAGTGCTGGAGTCAGGGCCCACGCCGACTCCCACGGTGCCCGCTTCTTAGGGCACTTGAGGCCCAGGCACCTGTGGACAGGCCTCAGGTGCAGCCTCGGGGGCCACCTGGGGAAGCTTTGCCTGTGAATTGTCTGGATGCCCACCCTTCCCATTCTGCCCACCCTGGAGTTTCTGGGGATCTGTTTCATGTTATAAGACTTCGGGGTTCTCTCTCTGCGGTGAAGTCCATGTAACACGGAAACGGGGCTGCCCTTTGATCTGGTCACTCCAGGGACAGTGCTGTCATAGGCTGGGCTCTGTCACCCAAATTCATGCATTAGTATCCTAATCCCCATATCCAGAAAGTGTCTAGTCTCCAAGTCGTGTCCGACTCTTTGTGACCCCATGGACCCACCAGGCTCCTCTGTCCATGGGATTCTCCAGGCAAGAATACTAGAGTGGGTTGCCATTCTCTTCTCCAGCGGATCTTCCTGACCCAGGGGTTGAACCCAGCTCTCCCTCTTTGTAGGGGGATTCTTTACTGTCTGAGCCCCCAGGGAAGCACCCCCATCCCCATATCCAGAATGTGACTGTATTTGGAGCTGGGCTGTTAAAGAGGTGATTCAGGTAAAACGGGGACCCTCGGGTGGCTCCTCTTCCAGTGCGACTCCTGTCCTCATGAGCAGGGGGAATTTGGAGACAGACGTGCCCATCAGGAGAAGCCAGGTGAGCGTGAAGATGGCGTCCACAGGCCGAGGGGAGGGACCTCAGCTCCTTCCCTGGCAGGTCCCTCGTGGAACCTGACACAGTGATCTTGCACTTGCAGCCCGGAAGCTGAGAGACAGGAAATGTCCGTTGTCACCCCATCTGCGGCGCTTCGTCTCGGCAGCCCCAGCAAAGTCCTGCAGGTGCCGAGGGGTCAAGAAAGGGACAGGGACCTCCAGGCCGAGGGCTCCCTGTGGAGGCAGGGACATCAGGGGGACACGGGCACCCAGCTGGGCCGGGACTCTGGTCCTGATGGCCAGGCGGGGGCCCTTTGACCTTGGAGAACCGGCAGGAATTCCACGGCTCAGTTCTCCCCTGTGATGGTGACCGTGGTCCCTCTGCTGTGTGGGGTCAAGAGGAGTCTCGCTCTGGGGGATGGCCTCATTCTGTGGACAGTAGGTAAACCCAGGGAATGGGCATCTCTTTCTGGCAAAAAAAATAAAGTCCTTGGACTTGGGATTGCTGCAGGGCTGTGTGAAGCAGTGTTGGGATCTGGCCAGGGGGGAGTCCCGCACCCGTCCCCTCCCTTGAGAGTCCCCGTCACGTCCGATCCGAGCGGATTGTGTGACTTGGACGTTAAGTGTGTTTGGCTTTGGCACAGCCTCTGCTCCGGAGTTCTCTCTGAGCATCACCTAATGAGACAGCCGCGAGAAGGATTTTATTCCTCCCTCCCTCTCTTCCTAATACTTTCCAAACAATCAGGCTTGGTTCTCTAGACTTTTTAAGGTAGTAAGGAAGAGAGGGCTTCCCAGGCACCACTAGTGGTAAAGAACTCTCCTGCCAATGCAGGAGACATAAAGAGACGTGGGTTCGATCCTTGGGTCAGAAAGATCCCCTGGAGGAGGAAGTGCAACCCACGCCAGTCTTCTTGCCTGGAGAATCCCGTGGACAGAGGAGCCTGGCGGGCTGCAGTCCATGGGGTCGCAAAGAGTCAGACACGACTGAAGCGACTTAGCACGCATGCAAAGAAGAGTGAACTACACGGCTTCTGTTTGGAGTGGATGTTTACCTTCGGCGGAGCCTGCTCCCCCCTGGAGGTATAATGTTTTGGAGGAGATGCTCTGTTATTTTCTCGGGTGCCCTGCACACAACTTAATTAGGCAGGCTTGATTGCCTTCTCTGGGTCTCGCTTTTTCTGTCACCTTTGTGAGCAGATAGCCTCCTGATGGCTCGATAAAAACTCCAAGAAAAAGAAAGCCTTAATGAGTATAGATTTCCTTGCCATTTGCATTTGTAAGTGAACATTCTAGTAATGACTGAAGGCAGAAAGTGTAAAGTGGATTGATTAAGTAATTTTCCTGATCAAGGCGAGGCTCTTCCATTTCAGCTGGTGCAGCCAGTCCCATTAACCCTTGCCTTAAGTTTCCCTTTATTTATGACATCTTTGTGAAGGTTCGGGTTCCAGGGGGCAGCTTGGGAGGACACAGCATTGCCTTGTTCATCAGGGGCACTGGGTTCCAGCCAGTGATTGGAGTGAGAGTTCATGTAGGTGGTTCTCGGTACTTTTGCCTTAAGCATTTTTGCTCTGCTTTCTTCCTACAAGTGATGGGCCGTAGGGTAAATGTGCTGTAAAAGATAAAAGAGGAATGTTAAAAAGGACATAATGAAACAGAAATGAGTAACAAAAAAGGCTTTATTGTGAAATACAAAACATTTGAAGAAGAGCTGACTCATTGGAAAAGGCCCTGATGCTGGGAAAGATTGAGTGCAGGAGAAGGGGATGACGGAGGATGAGATGGTTGGATGACATCACCGACTCGATGGATGTGAGTCTGAGCAACCTCCGGGAGACAGTGGAGGACAGGGAAGCCTGGCCTGCTGCAGTCCGTGGGGTCACAGAGAGTCGGACACGACTGAGTGGCTGAATAGCGACGACAAGGTGTGTGTAAGTTCATGCAGCGCTGCATGAATGATTTTATCATGTCGGTTGTACCTGGACTCTTGTCTTCCAGGTCATCGTATCTACAATTTTTTTGCTTGTTGATTTGTCTCATTTGGCATCGCACTGATTCTTTTCTCTAAAATGTCTTCCTTTGTTAGGAGAGGTGCGTGCTCATGCTTGCTCAGTCTTTGCGACCCCGTGGGGCCTGTGAAGAGATGATGCAGGTGAAGTGAGGTCACGTGGGTGGTCACATATATATAAGGACTGGAGTCCCTGTAAGAAGAGGCGGTCAGGACACAGACACTCAGACAGGGATGACCCTGTGAGGACATGGGGAGGAGACGGCCGTCTGCACGCCCAGGAAGGGGGCCTCTGGAGGCCAGCCCCGCCCACACCCGGGTCTGGGAGTCCAGCCTCCAGGACCAGGAGGAAATGGTCTGTTGTTTGAGCTGCCCAGGCTATGGGCTTTGTTACGGCCGGAGCAGTCTCACGCGAGGATGCAGCCAGCTGGGATGATACACAGAGCTTCACTTAGCGTTCAGTTAAAGCGCGATCATTCAGTAAGTACCAGCTGTGCTGAGTGTGTTGCATACAATTTTTTTTTTTAATTCTTGCTTTCTCCGGTACCATGGGGGCTGGCCCCCCACCTTACAGTTGAAGATGGTATGGCTGGTTCACTCCGGCCACATGGCCGAGGCTGGGGAGGTCAGCTCTGTCCAGCTTGAAGGCCGGAGCTGTCTCCCTGTCCCTGGGCATCTCCTGTCCCCTGTTCTGTCTGTCAAGTCCTGCTGGAATGTCTGGCTGTCTGGACATCCACAGTTGGAGAGGGGAGATGCCTCAAGGGGCCGTCTCAGCCCCGCTGCCGGGGAGGGTGGTGGCTGCACCTGGTCTAGAACCGTGACCACCCATGGGTTCCACCATCGCAGCAGTGGATGGTGGCCACCCATCATCTGTTCCCCGGAGAGGTGGCTCAGACCTCCCTTGTCCCCGCTGACATCCTGGTCCCTGGGGCTCCCTCACTGAGTCATGACCCCCACCCTCAGGGCCTGGTTGTTGATTAAATGCTGGGGGCTCACAGCCTTTCACAGTGTGAGCATGGGTGCCTGCCTGTGGTGTTGACGAAGCTTTTCTCTAATGTACGCAAGGGGCCATCGGCCGGCTCGGATCAGAGCCTGGACTGGAGAAACAGCAGCGGTGGGGTGGTGTTGGCTCAGCTTTGCTGGCCGCGTCACTTCTCCGCGTGCGCCTGTGGGCCCCACCTGGACACATCTGCTGTCTGGGGCTTATGGTCGACCACTTGCAGCATCCTGGCAGATGAGGTCTGTGCTGGGCTGGGACAGAGAGCCGCCCTGCTGGACAGGCCTGGCCCTTCCCTGTCCTGCCCGAGGCTCTGCTTTCCGCTTTCTTGTCTTTATGACCAGGCAGCCTGCCCCTCCCCCGGGCTCTGGGCATTGAAATCTGTGCAGCGGAGGAACCCCAGGCCTTATCCTGCTTCATGCATCTCCCCAGAGGAGCAGAGGCCCAGCAGTCAAGGATTTAGATGGGAGGTCCGGGTTCAGAATCTGCGTCTCAGTTGTGCAGCACTGGACCTGTGATTGCCCTCCCCGGGCGCCGGTGGCTCACGTGTTAAGACAGGTGCTACTCCGTCTGTGTGCTTTGTCACTTACGTGCACACGCACAGCCGACCCGTGATGCCAGGCGCCGGGTTAATGCTGCTGAATGGGGGATGGGATTCATCAGGGTGGGCGGTGCCTGTGAAACCCTTGGAGCCAAAAGGCATCTGGCAGGAGACGGGGACGCCGAGGTCAGGAGTGGGCTCGGGAGCAGGAACCAAAACACAGTGGTGGGGAGGGTGGATGGCTGATGGCTGCCTCCGTCACCCAACCCGAGCATCTTGTCCACGGGACCAGAGAACCAGTCCTGGTCTTAGCAGGCATGCCCCATGGTTGGCAGCTTCCAGGGGCTCAGTGCCCCATGGTCTGGCAGCTTCTGGGGTCTCAGCCTTCATCCAGGTGGGAGCCGTGCTCCAAGAACCCCCGCCTGCCTTGACCCACCACTTGATGGAGTAAGGCGGTGACCCCCTCCTGCTAGAGAAAAGCTCAGGGTCCCCAGGAGACCAAATGGACGTGAACTCTATCTGGACGTTGTCCATCGACAGTCACCGAGAGTGGGCAAGGCTCTGAGGGGGGACCAGACGACATCCCTGGGCACCAGCATTGTGCATCCTGGCCCCAAGCCCGGCCCGTCCGGACTCCTGACCACCGTGGTCTCTGCAGCTCTACCTGGTTGCCAAGGCAATTCGTGCGGCCACAGTTATTTCTGTCTTTCGGTTATTCACGTGCCTGTACCTTCTCATATGTCAGCTGTGATAGCTGTGTTTTCCTGCTGCCTTGCACAGACGCCTCCCTCCCTGGAGGACCCATGCGGGCCCCGGTTGGAAACCTTCAGCCTGAGGGGCGGGGGCGGGGACGTGTTTCCGTGGGGCGGGTGGAGAGCCGTGGGGGCTTTTCTGGGCCTTCCTGGAGGTTCAGGATGGGAGCGAGTCTGGGGCCCGGCATGGGGAGGAGTGCTCTGCTCCTGTTCTGAAGATGCTTTGATGCCATGTCTACCCCTGTGGCAGCTTACAGAGGTGACGTGATGTCCGTCGAAGCCTCGGCGTGTTCTCTGAACGCACATGGGTTGAAGGCCATGCGCAGCACTGCCCAGCAGTTAGCAGACTGGACCCTCCTCCCTTGAAGCGAATTCCAGTCTAGCCAAGAAGTAGGCCTAGACTGTTCTCCGGTCATCTCCCGCTGCTGGAGAAACAACCTTGAAACTTCGGGACTTAGACAGCCGCCTTTTTTGTTGCTCGTGACTCTCTGGGCTGGGCTTTTGGGCAAGGATGAGCTGGCGGTACTCTCGCCCCTCCAGAATGTGGTTCCTGTGTCGTGGGTGGCTTTCCGGGGCTCGGGTTGGTGGACTTCTCTCGTGGGAGCTGGCTTCCCGGAGGTGGGTTGTTCCAGCAAGTAAAGACGGGAGCCACAGCTCTCGAGCTCTCTGCCGAGGAGCAGGATGGGGTCATTAGGCTGGGCCCGGGCCCCGTGGGTCTGGTGTCCTTCTGAAGGACAGGGTGCAGGGGGTGTGAGGGGGCAGGAGGATGAGCCCCGCACGTTTTCCACACATCCGTTCCGGAGCTTGCTTTAGTCTTGCTGGGACGTCCTTGCGCTGCTCCCAGTTGTGTTGTTAGGCTGTTAACCCTTCTCTCCCATTTTCCACCTTCTTGCCTTTTTGTCTTCCTTCCTGGAGATTCCCCCAATTTTATCCCCCGGTCTTCTGTGATCCTACTTCAAAAAAAAATTTTTTTTTTCACTTATTTTTAATTGAAGGATAATTGCTTTACAATATTGTGTTGGTTTCTGCCATACATTATGATCAGCCATAGGTGTACATATGTCCCATCCCTGTTGAACCTCCCTTCCACCTCCGACCCCATCCCACCCCGATCTGAGCTCCCTGCATCATGCAGCGAATTCCCACTGGCTGTCTGTTTTAGACGTGGTGATGTACATGTTTCCATGCTACTGTCTCCATTCTTCCCACTCTGTCCACAGTTTTCTCTATGTCTGTGTCTGGTTCATCAGCACCATCTTACTAGATTCCATATATATGTGTTAATAGATGATATTTATTTTGCTGTTTCTGACTGACTTCACTCTGGATAGTAGACTCTAGGTTCATACACCTCACTAGCACTGACTCAAATGCATTCCTTTTTACGACTGAGAAATACCCATTGCATATATGTACCACAGCTTCTTTATCCATTCGTCTGTCGATGGGCATCTACCTTGCTTCCATGTCCTAGTTATTTGTAGTAGTGTTGCAGTGAACATTGGGATACATGTGTCTTTTTCAGTTATGATTTTCACAGGGTATATGCCCAGTAGCGGGATTGTTGGGTCATGTGGTAGTTTTATTCCTAGTTTTTTAAGGAATCTCCATATTTCTTTCATAGTGGCTGTATCAATTTACATTCTCACCAACAGTGCAAGAGGGTTCCCTTTTCTCTACACCCTCTCCAGCATTTATTTTTTGTAGATTTTCTTGAAGATGGCTATTCTGACTGGCTTGAGGTGATAGCTCAATTAGTTTTGATTTTCATTTCTCTAATAATGACTGATGTTGAGAATCTTTTCATGTGTTTATTAGCCATCTGTGTGTCTTCTTTGGAGGCATGTCTGTTTAGGTGTTCTGCCCACTCTTTGATTGGATTGTTTTTCTGATATTGAGCTGCTTATATATTTTGGAGATTAATCCTTTGCCTGTTCTGTTTGTTATTAATTTCTCCCATTCTGAAGGTTGTCTTTTCACCTGATTTATAGTTTCCTTTGCTGTGCAAAGCTTTTAAGTTTAACTGGGTACCATTTGTTTATTTTTGTTTTTATTGCCATTATTCCAGGAGGTGGATCATAGAAGATCTCTCTGGTGCTTGTGTCAGAGGGTGTTCTGCCTATGTTTTCCTCTTAGAGTTTTATAGTTCTGGTCTTACATTTAGGTCTTTAATCCATCTTGAGTTTATCTTTGTGTATAGTGTTAAGAAGTATGCTAATTTCATTCTTTTACCTGTAACTGTCCAGTTTTCCCAGCACCACTTATTGAACAGACCATCTTTTCTCCACTGTATATTCTTGCCTCCTGTGTCAAAGATAAGGCACCTAAAGATATAAGGCCACCTGTGTAAGTTTGTCTCTGGGCTTTCCATCTTGTTCCATTGGTCTCTATTTCTGGTTTTGTGCTGGTGCCACACTTTATTGAGGACTGTAGCTTTGTAGTATTGTCTGAAGTTGGGAAGGTTAATTCTTGCAGCTCCATTCTTCTTTCTCAAGATTGCTTTGGCTATTCAGGGTCTTTTGTCTTTCCATATGAATTGTGAAATCTTTTGTTCTAGTTCTGTGAAAAATGCCATTGGTAATTTGATAGGGATTGCAATGAATCTGTGTATTGCATTTGGCAGTATAGTCATTTTCACAATATTGATTCTTCCAACCCAGGAACATGGAATACCTCTCCATCTGTTTATGTCATCTTTGATTTTGTCAGTATCTTATAGCTTCTGTATTTTGTATAGTTTCTCTTTTGTCTCCTTAGGTATGTTTATCCCATTTTATTCTTTCTGTTGCAGTGATAAAACAGAGTTTGTTTGTAAACAGAGATTGAGTCCTTAATTTCTCGTTCTGATTTTTCATTGTTAGTGTATAAGATGCAAGTGATTTCTGTGTATTGATTTTATATCCTGAGACTTTATTAAATTCACTGATTAGTTCTAGTAATTTTCTGATAGCATCTTTAGGGTTTTCTGTGTATAGTGTCATGTCATCTGCAAACAGTGAGAGTTTTACTTCTTCTTTTCCAATCTGGATTTTAAACTTTCTTTTTCTTCTCTGATTGCCATGGCTAGAACTTCCCAACTATGTTGAATAATAGTGGCAAGAGTGGGCACCCTTGTCTTGTTCCTGATCTTAGAGAAAATGCTTTCACTTTTTCACTGTTAGAATAATGTTTGCTGTGGGTTTCGCCATGGACTATATAGTCCACAGGATTCTCCAGGCCAGAATACTGGAGTGGGTAGCTGTTTCCTTCTTCAAGGGATCTTCCCAACCCAGGGATTGAACCCAGGTCTCCCACATTGAAGGCAGATTCTTTACCAGCTGAGCCTCCAGGGAAGCCCAAGAATACTGGAGTGGGTAGCCTATCCCTTCTCTAGGGGATCTTCCACACCCAGGAATCGAACCAGGGTTGCAGGTGGATTCTTTACCAGCTGAGCCACCATATGATAAGGAAGCCCTCTTATATATGGCCTTCAGTATGTTGAGGTTATTCTGTCCTCATTTTTGGAAGAAGTTTTTTTTTTTTTTTTTTCATAAATGGGTGCTGAATTTTGTTGAAAACTTTTCCTGCATCTATTGAGATTATCATATGGTTTTTTATCTTTCAGTCTGTTAGCATGGTATATTACATTGATCGATTTGCATATATTGAAGAATTCTTGCATCCCTGGGATAAACTCAACCTGATGAAGGTGTATAATCTTTTCAGTATGTTGTTGGATTCTGTTTGGTAGAATTATGTGGAGGATTTTTGCATCTATAGTCACCAGTGATATTGGCCTGTAATTTTTTTGTGGTTTCTTGATCTGGTTTTGATATCAGGGTGACGGTGGCCTTGTAGAATGAATTTGAAAGTGTTCCTCTGAAGTTTTGGGGAAGGGTTTCAGAAGCATAGACATTAGCACTTCTCCAAATGTTTGAGAAAATTTGCCTGGGAAGCCATCTGGCCCTAGGCTTTTGGTTTTTGGGAGATTTTTGATCACAGTTTCAATTTTAGTGCTTGTGTTTGGCTTGTTCATAATTTCTATTTCTTCTGGGTTCCATCTTGGAAGGTTGAACTTCTCTAAGAATCTGTCCATTTCTTCCAGGTTATCCATTTTATTGGCATAAGGTTGCTTATAATAGCCTCTTATGATCCTTTGTGTTTCTGCATTATTTGTTGTAACCTTTCCTTTTTCATTTCTAATTTTGTTGATTTGATTCTTCTCCCCGCCCCCCCCTTTTTTTTAAAATAAATCTAGCTAATAGTTTGTCAATTTTGTTTATCTTCTCAAAGAACCAGCTTTTAGTTTTATTAGTCTTTACTATTGTTTCCTTCATTTCCTCATCTTTATGATTTCTTTCCTTCTACTAATTTGGGGGCTTTTTGCTCTTCTTTTTCCAGTTGTTTTAGGTGTAAAGTTTGGATGTCCGTTATTTTTCTTGTTTCTTGAGGTAGGATTGTATTGTTATAAACTTCCCTATTAGAACTGCTTTTGCTGCATCCCTTAGGTTTTGAGTGATCGTGTTTTCATTGTCATTTGTTTCTAGGAATTTTTTTTATTTCCCTCTTTATTTCTTCAGTAACCTGTTGATTATTTAGAACTGTATTGTTTAATCTTCATGTGTTTGTGTTTTTTACAGTTTTTTTTTTCCTGTAATTGATATCTACTCTTACTGAGTTGTAGTCAAAAAAGATGCTTGATATGATTTCAATTGTCTTAAATTTACTAAGGCTTGATATGTGACTCAAGAAGTGGTCTGTCCTGGAGAATGTTCCATGTGCACTTGAGAGGAAAGTGTATTCTTCTCAACTTGGAACGTCCTGAAGGTATCAGTTAGGTCTGTCTGATCTAATGTGTCATTTAAGGTTTGTGTTTCCTTATTTTCTGTTTTGGTGATTCTGTTGGTGTAAGTGGAGTGTTAAAGTCCTCTATTACTATTGTGTTACCATCAGTTTCCCCTTTTATATCTGTTAGTGTATGCTTAATGTATTGGAGTGCTCCTATGTTGGGTGCACAATTGTTATGTCTTCTTCTTGGATTGATCCCTTGATCATTATGTAGTGCCCTTCCTTATCTCCTGTAACATTCTTAATTTTAAGGTCCATTTTGTCTGTTGTGAGAATTGCTACTCTGACTTTCTTTCTATTTCCATTTGTATGAAATATCTTTTTTCATTCTCTCAGTCTGTCTCTAGGTCTGAAGTGGGTCTCTTGTAGACAGCATATGTGTGGATCTTGTTTCTGTATCTATTCAGCCAGTCTGTGTCTTTTGGTTAGAGTGTTTAATCCATTTACATTTAAAGTAATTATTGATATATATTTTCCTATTGGCATTTTCTTAATTGTTTTGGGTTTGTTTTTGTAAGTCTTTTCCTTCTCTTGTGTTTAACATTTGTTGTAAAGCTGGTTTGGTGGTGCTAAATACTCTTTAATATTTGCTTGTCTGTACAGCTTTTGATTTCTCGATCAGTTTTGAATGAGATCCTTGCCAGGTAGCATAATCTTGGCTGTAGATTTTTCCCTTTCAGTACTTCAAATATATCCTGCCATTCCCTTCTGGCCTGCAGAGTTTTTGATGAAAGATCAACTGTTAATTCTATGGGTTTTTCCTTGTATGTTAATTGTTGGTTTTCCTTTGCTGCTTTTAATATTCTTTATTTGTGTTTAATCTGTGTTAATTTGATTTGTATGCATCTCGGTGTGTTTCTTTTTGGGTTTATCATTTCCTTTCCCATGTTAGGGAAGTTT